GTGTGTGTGTGTGTGTGTGTGTGTGTGTGTGGTGGGGGCATGAAATTATTTTTAAAAACCAAAAGGGGGGCCCATCAGAAAAGGTTTGGGAACCACTGCTTTAGACAGAACCCGGGTGAACTTTCCTGCAACAAACAGCCCAGGACAGTGAACAGAAATCATTGTGAGATTTTAATGCAAAAGTGTTTCCACAACACAGTCAGTGCTCACAGTGGTGCAGCGCAGATGATTTACAAGTGAGGAAGACTTGGTTTCTTCAGTATTAGTTCTTACCATGGCCGCTTTCTCCATATGCCAGAAAGGGTGGGACGATAATGATCCGTCTCTCCCCAACACACATGTCCAGGAGACCCTGGTCCAGTCCTTTGATCAGGTCTCCCTGCCCCAGGTACGTGTCGTAGGTTGAGTTTCCTAAGTARCTAAYAAACAAAAGRGATCAAAAGTGAAACAMAGACGCATCAAATGTTCTTCTGATACAGAGATGAGCTCCAGCACACCTGGAGTCAAAGGTTTCCCCGGACAGCAGCGTGCCGTTGTAGTGGTAGCGGATAAAATCCGAGGCTGCGCTGGTGCGCCTGCAGACCGCGGGCTTGCTGATCGTACGGATCTGGATCTGGTCCTCCGTGTTCCAGATGTCCAGCAGGAGGACGTCATACACCAGGGTGGCGTCTGGGGGAATCACGCCACCTGTGGGACCGGAGACAAGATTTGAACACAAACCAGCACGGATGAGCGGTAGTGGTTTGTCAGTTCAAACCTGTTCCAATGCTCCCATAAGCCAGGTGTGGTGGGATGGTGATCTTCCTGCGCTCGTTGACACACATGCCCTGCAGACCCCGGTCCATCCCTGTGATGAGTCTGCCCAGGCCCACCTGACTGATGAAGGCTTTGCCTCGATCATAGCTGCACAAACACGGGAGGAACTGATTAAAACCCATTTATAGTATTTATGTCAACAAACAACTTGTTTTCYAACTATAAGTGATTTATAATAAAGTAAATGACAAGAGTCAAAAGGATTGATCTGTTCAGGTTTCACTGACACGTCTGCATCCACCTGGAAGAACTGCTGACTGGATCAGAACCGAGCTTTAACCCTGTCAGCATTAACAACAACCGGACCTACAAACAACACAACACAAAACAACGTTTTAAATTATTTTTCTTTCACCTGGAATCAAACTTTTTCCCGTCTTCATAGAAGGTCCCATTGAAGTGATAACGGATGAAGTCCTCTGTTTGCACTTCCCGGGGACAAAGTTTCGGGGTGTCGTACCGATCCACGACAACGTCCACWAACGGGCTCGGGCTGCCGCTCGCGACGTGGACGACAAATAAAAAGTTTAAACATTTCTTTAAATCCATCTGAACACAGACAGAGACACTCCGCCTTGTGTCAGCAGGAAAAAAAAAAAAAACGGGAGTAAAATAGATAGGCTGGCCGAGCGAAGCTATTAACGTAACCGGAAAAAGTTAAAGCAGCTTCCGCTTGGGGTTTTCAAAATAATAGCATCGTCTAAAATAGGGCGAAAGTTTACCACTATAATCCAAACTATTAAGATTAAAGGATTTTAAAAGAAAGGCTCAATATATCATGTGCATAAACTTGAAATAGTGACTAAGCTTCCTATTATTTTTTTACATATATTTAAAGAAGCTTTGTTTAAACAAA